CTAGATGACTCTCCCAGATCAGAGTAATTTAGTAAGATGGGGTAAAGGTACCGAAAACACTTGCTATATCTGCGGAAAGGCAGTTGGAACTGCTAAGCATTTGCTAGTGAGATGTAAGGTTCTCCTGGACAGCGGTCAATTCTCGCGTCGTCACTATAGGGTTTTAGAGATCATACTTGAAGCGGTTAGTCTTTCGGTAGCCAGAGCGCAAAGGGAAATAACCACAAACGAGCGATCAATAGGTTTTGTGAGAGAGAGCACCAGGGCTATAAAATCAAACGTCAAGCCTTACTCTATCCTTAAAGCGGCTTCGGATTGGACTATCATGATGGATACGTATGAGAAACAACACAAAATCCCCGAGGATATTTGTGCGTCAGCCTCCAGACCAGACACATTTCTATACTCGCGTATTTTAAAGCGCGTTGTGATGATAGAGCCTACGGTGCCTTGGGAAACCAACATCCCCAAAGACCATGCCATCAAGGTCACTAAGTATTACGAGCTCACCAACGAACTAACTCGAAATAGGTTCGTCCGCGGTAGAGGTGGGAGCGAGAGGCATAACAGCCAAATCTCTCTACAACCTACTAAAAGACTTGGGCCCGTCCAGAACCAACATTAATTCATTCTCGGAACGTACGTCGAAAGCAGCCCTAGCAGGTTCCTTCCAAATTTGGCCAGGTAGGGAGAGGAACTTGGACAGTGGAGGTGAGCGTACAACGCGCGTTAGTTAAGGGGCCCCTTAAACCCACACCTGGGTCGCAAGTCCCAGGCACTGCTGAAGCTCCCCTCCCTGCAACGCGATGGACCCGGCACCCGCACGGTGAATCCATTGAATGCTAAGCGGTTTCGTCCCTTGTACCTCAGGAAGTTTGTCACGCCACGTTTTATGGGTATCGTTTTCTATAATAGTTAGCAGACATTTTAAAATCTGCATGACCCTTTCTACTTGACCGTTGGCTTTATTTGCCCCTGTTGTTATAAAGTAAAGTTCTATACGAGGTGTTTTACTCAATTCTCTAAAGTCCGCGCTTACAAAGCCCCTTCCCCGATATAACAATTCGCTTGAGAACACCGAAAAGAGAAACAGCTTTTCTCAACGCTTTAATAGTACAACTGGCATCGAGGGATAGAGTATGCTCTTAAAGGACATACTTGATAACATAATCAATCATTACTGACGCGTATTTCTTTTCTGTCGCTTTTGCCACTTAATGTCCCAGTCATATCTATGTATGTGAATAGTATGCCAATAAAATGTATGCAAATCCGTAGGAGAATTTACATGGCCAAAATAGCAATAACCCCACTGAATAAAATTTGGAGAGATAGGAAAATTATTAATGGAACAAAAATGCATCTGATACGAACGCTTGCCTTCTCTATATTTCTATCTATCTAGCTATCCGATTCTGTATAGTGCAAAGACGTGGACTATGAAAGTCGTTGACAGGCAAAGAATTGATGCCTTAGGAATGTGGTGATGGCGAAGTATGTTACGCATACCTCAAAATATGGTCGGCGCTTATCTAATATCTATTTGCAGCACATACTGGCGTTGATTGGTCAGTTCCCTGACAGAACTACGGACAGCTTTAAACGTCCGCTAGTGATTGAAAAAGTGGACGGTAACCGAACTAGAGGACTAAATCCCAAAAGGTGACTGGACCAAATCCCAGAACACCTAAAAATATCTGCCTGCGTTGCACTCCATCAAGAAACTAAACGTGTCTATCTCAGTATGGATATGGTTGATTTAAGTCCATACAAGGGACTGATGGACGATAGGTTACCAACGACTAACTTTGTTTCGCTCAATTTTTTTTCGATATAGCATATTGTTTCTAACATCGTAGATGTGACTAATTGAATCGGGAAACTTATTATTTAAGAGCTGAGCAACAATATCTTGAACATATGCATCACGTTTTTGTTCTACCGCTAACCACCCTTGATTTACCTCTACAAACTGCACAGACTTATTAACTACTTGAGCCTTGCTTTTGTCGCTCTTGGAAGTGCCCTGCTCAGGGTCGTCTATGTACTCTCGGTGTTAATTTTTTTTTTTTTTTTTTTTTTTTAACTAAGAAGCTTTGAAAGGATTGCCACCCGTGAAAACGATAAAATGATGACCATATAGCTTTTGCTTCAAATATTCTTCCGCTCGAACGACTGCCGAGGTCTCAAGTTCATAAGAATGATACTTTTATTCCGTGTCAGTTTTCCGGCGACTGAAATATGAAATAACGTGAGGAACTCCGTTCTTTCATTTAATTAAAATGGTACCGTATCCGTTGGCGCTGGCATTCGTGTGTAATTTTATAGGAGGCTCGCGATCAAATATAGTTAGAATAGACTCCGTGGTAAGTATTTGAACTATCCATTTACGAATATTACCGTGGACTTCTGACCGTTTAATTAACCCCTTTAACTTAGTGAGTAGACATAAGGATCGTACTAGGCGGAAATAGTTCGGTATAAAATTTCTAAAACAAAAGGCTTACTATAAGAATTGGTGTTAATCTCCCTAGAGTCAACATACATTATGTCAGAGTTGTCATTCGGTTTTTTTTTTTTTACAATTAGAATGGGGCTTGATAAAGTGTAAAATGATTGTTTCAAAGAGGGCATCCATTTTTTTTTCGAACAACCTCTTATAATTTGTAAGGTCTCTCTTAGACTATGTTAGGGTCTAAAGAATTAGGGTCTAAAGAGTTAAGAGGTGCCCTTAATAATAAAATGAGTTATACTTCTTAAAAACATCGATAAGGGCTTTGTTATCGTCGCCTTCCAAATAAGTTTTGATACAAGAAAAGTTAAGACTGTCTGAGGTTGGGCACTTATCTGTTTTTGTCGTTTCAGGTTTTGAGAAAATAATGTAGTCACTGTTTATCTCTCCTTTAACCCCCCACTCTACAAGGTACCGTCCAACAACCACGGATTCAAGAATAATATTCTCTTTAATAATATGAAACAAAAGAGACACTGAAACACTTTGAATTATGACCGGGCTTAAAATTTGTGTATTACAATAAGTCTATAGACGTAGAAACACTAATAATAATTGACTGTTAATGTACACGAAGTATGACTAGAGTATTCAGTACCGAAGCGCAAGGTTGAATGACCTTTATTCGCTAATACGATCTAATATTAAAATCTTACGAAGTGGTGGGTAAGCGTGAAACTCATATCGTCGCCCGTTCGCTTCGACCGTATACTACGCGTTCAGATGCCTTTCAGGGGAACTACTTCATTGCTCAAAGTACACAGAAATTTATTTGAAAAATTTTCAGATACAGACACACATTAGTACTACATGAACAAGTACACCCACTACTAAAAAGAAAAGGAACAGTCTCACCAGATGACGTCGTCAACTCCCCTCGGCTCGGCCCATGGTCACACAGATATCTCCTTCACCGGCGAGCCTCAATTACCGGTACCTTTTACGATCAAGACACGACGAGACGTCCTAACCCTTATATCTGCTTCCGTACGATCCAGATTGAACCGGATCAACTACGTCGTCGAAGTTAGTTGAGAAGTTGACATTATTTTCATCGACAAGTTTCTCATTATTTTTTACAAAGTTTAACATAGATGGATGATCACTACTCTCCTCATTTTAAAGCCCTTTCGATCCCACTTCTGATGTAGGAGGGCGTTATAAGAACAGGAGGGCCTTCATGGGAACTCATACTTTGAAAGGGATAAAGTACAGTCTATTCAATACGACACCAACTCAATCGAAACACTAGATATCACTATCACTTCGATACACAGCGATTCGTCACGAGCGCGGTGCGCGGGCGTCATCTCGCACGATACTCCATAATAAAGATGGCCGCCCTCGCTACCATCACAATGACGCTTCACTAGGCTAACCTCAGACAGCTAAAAGTCAACCTGACGTATGATTTTTGACGGATGCGCCGTCATATATATTACTTAATATTTCTAGTCAATGTTTATGCACTTTTAGAGAGTCCACACTTTAGGTAAGTTATTCGTATGTAGTGTGCTAAATGTAATGATCAATTAAGAAACCTGTTTGTATCCAAAAAGGATTTTATATCAGTATTTAAATAATTGTAGGCGTGAGTCCTTATTTAGCTTGTGCCGTGTGGATAACCTTTCGTCTTATATTTTTTAACTGTATGAGAATGATTTGTGTATATATAAACACTTAATTTTATTTTTTCTTAGTTATATATTAAGATTTCTAGAAAAACTGTTGAGTTTAGAAAGTTATTAAGCAAAATTATATGTGTATATTAGAACATTTATGTCTTAATTCTTATTTCATAATAATCAATGTTGTATATATATATATATGAGATATTTTATATGTACATACATATTTTAATTATTGAGTTTAAATTAAATACCTCTCTCTTATTCGTTATAATAAAAACTTTTAATACAATCAATGGAATTCATTTGTTTCATGAAATAAATGAAAAGACATTCGAAAGTAAATGTATATTAAATGTAATGAATTCATTCATGAATTACGTTAAATTTTGAAACATAACGCAGCGGTTCGTTGGTTTTATGAAATTCAAATGACCTTAAAAAAAAAGAAATGTATCAAATGTTATTACATTTTAACAAACGCGACTGTTGCATTCTTACAACAATCCAAGTGATAGCCTATCCTTTAGCAGAGTTTAATTAGAATTAGTTCAGTAATTTAAAACGTATTTGTAATTCTCATAGTTTAAGTATTACTTATTTTAAAAAAAGGTGTTCGTTTGTTTTTGTTCTTCTTTTTTATATGTAGTCGGCATTGAAATTGATGATGTTTCGTTTGAAATAACACATTTCCTGTTCTTATTATGATAATTAATATAGATAAATAAAAATAATTCTGTACTAAAGTGAGAATTACACTAAGCAAGTTTAAATTTTCTTTTATAAGTAGCGTATGCTTATAGAAATATATTTGGTTCTATTAATAGCTGTTTAATTTATATAATATAATTCATACTTACTGTGTTTTTTTCGGGCATCCAACACTGACATCTACCGGTAAAACTTTAAAAGCACCCCTACCACTTGTCCTTTTCGCCGAACCCGGCGCACTTTTCACTTCAAACCCCTCAGCTATACTCCTGACTTTCCCCTTTTTCGACAAATCATAGTACCTATCCTGGGCATGTATTAGCTGGGTAACAGTGAAGGAATCTTTCTTCAAATCTATCTTCGGTCCGAATAGATCGTGATCGAAGAACCTATTGTCTTGTAGATCTTTTTCTATCGTGATGTCTAGTAAGTTTCGATCGAACGCGTACGGCGTGTTCGCCAGTTCCTCCTCAAGACTGTTGTATCGGCTTCTGAACAGTGACTGGTTGCCCCCTCCAAACAGATCGTATTGAGTGAAGCGTTGGTTGATGGAGTCAAACTCTGGGTCCCGTATGTCTGGTTGTTTGTCCTGGTCACTAGACTCAGTCATATCTATTCGCAGGATGCCGTGCTCGTCTGAATATTTTAGTTGCAGCGCCATTTTCATGCCTGGAAATTTAAAAATTATGTATTTAGATTAACTTTGAATGTACGATTATCAAACAAAGAATTAAATATTAATTTATTGTATTGTCTAACAATGTATACTTTATAAATATTGATATTTCATGTTAATTATATTTAGTGAATATACATCTATTAAAATAAAGTTTTAAAATAATTTCCTTCAAATTCACGATACCCGTCAGTAAAGCTTTTAGGTATTACTAAAAAATACTTCATTTAATATTTTATTTACTATATCAAGATAAATCGTCATCAATTGTAAATATATGTAATCAGTATATAATAAAATTTTTAGCATAAATTTATTCTTTTATTAAGGAGAAATGCTCTTCAATGAAGCTGATTTTTGGTTCTAAACATTTCAATTAATTTTAGTTAATTTTAATTGGGATAGTTTTCTTATTCATTATTATCTTAATAAACATAGATATGTCAGAAGACTGTCATCATACCTTTAATAACTATACTTATAAAGATAATTTTCAATCAACATTTAGTTCATGTTATCTCAACGTCCATTTATGGAGGCATTTAAACTCATAAAAATCTTTCGATCAATCCTTGTTAGTGGCGCTGTAGAAAACAAAATAGCAATACATTTTGTTACATATAATAGTACGTTAATAATTATGAGATTTCTTATATTAAATCAATTTATTTGAAAAATACAAATAAGTCACGATACCAAGTATGGAAGATTAAGAGGCTATGTAAATATTTCCTTTCTGAGGTCGAAGAGCGAAAATTAGGACCTGGGTTTTGACTTAACTGTAGCTGTTATCATTATAAGCTCTGACAGGTACACCTAAGAGTGGAAGGTTTTACCTTGTGAAAATCTCTACTATATCTTTCGAATCTTTAGGCGATTTACGATATTATTTATAACTAAATAATAATAATTAAAATATTTAAAAGATAATGTATCTTAATATGTTGTTACGAAAACGAAAAATGATTAGTTCGAAACAGACAAAGAGTTAATATTTAATTTAGTTTTGAATATTTAACTAAACAAAACCCCATCCAGTTAAGTTATACTAATTTTATGTTTAAATTAGTTGTCTCTAAGAGATCTATTAAGTAACACAAATACAATTTATTCTAAATATTGTAAGTCGTCAAGAAATATAACATCCTTAAATTCAAGACAATTCTTCTTATAATATGTTTTAATTGTATACCTCATAGAAATATCTACTTGGATGTTCTTTTACAAAGTGAATACATTTATTTCTTAAACATAAAATTTAAATATTTTTTATATATGATAAAAAATAGGAAATAAAAATATTATTTTGTATCCGTCTGTCTGTTTTTTGTAAGCGTCATTATAATTCATCATTCAGACTATAATTACAGTAACTATCATTGGTATGATCCACACTGTTTTAACTTTTAAGTTAACAATACATGGTTATAGTTTAATTCCTTTGGTTTAACTTAAATTCAAAAATATATCTTCCATTAGATTTTGTTTTTGGATAGTACAAGAATAAGAGTTTGTCAAGTAAAACATTATTGGAACTGCTATAAAACTAACTAATAAAAAATGTGATTTAAACTGAAAGTATTGTTAATCTACTTTGATTTTCTGAAATAATTTATTATTTATTGTATACAAACAGAAAAAATATAAAACAAAAATATTAATTTTCTTACTTAATAATCTTTGACGAGTAATTTAAACGAGTGAATCTGTTAAAATTTAGATCAAATAAAGTTTATTACTCTTAATTATTTTTTTGTATTAGGTTTTACGTAACAATGTTAATAATATCGTATTTATTATCGGTCCATCGGCCGCCTTGAGAGTCACGGGGAATGACTTCTCGTTCGAGTCGATGATTTTTTAAAAAGAAACGCTATTTGGAAGAATCTTGAATATTTATTTGTTATACAAAGTTATAAATGTTCAATGACAAATTATAAGAACTGATTATTATTCTTTTACCTGGCAATTTCTCAGCTTTAGCCAGGGTCTGCCTTACATGTGTCATGTGAATAGTTTTGGCTAATTGTTTTTACGACCTGCCGCCTGCCTGACATCAACCCTCTTTTTGGGAATCAGCATTAATCAGTGATGTAATATACTAAATACTCTTAGAAAGTACATATGACTCGAAAAAATCACATTGATACTTGACCGGGCCAGGATTGAACCCGCGCCCTCATGCATGAGAGGCAGGCCTTCTCAACCATTAGGCCACTAAGAACTGATTATTATGTGGGCTTTACCGTTCTCATTTTGGTGAAGAGAAAGATTCGACAACCAAAAGTATTAATAGGCATAATAGTATCGAAAAATATTTACGTGTTTTGTTTCATATTTTTTTTGATTTCTTATAAGTATCAATACTTATAGTCAACTGATTAACTAAAGTATAGAAAAAACCAAACCTTTGACTTATTATTTTAAACGGTGAGCCAAAAGCAAAGAATATATGTACTTATTCTAAATTTTGACATCAAAGACTGTCAGTTGTCACTTAAATGTCATCCTTCAATATCACAAATATTAACGAAATTATGAAGGAAATTGCTCAGTATTTTTTAATATATTTTACTTAAAAAGATTAGCTGATTACTTAAATATAAATGTTCTAAAATTACTTAATGTGCCTCTCTTACAAACATTTTCTGGGTCATTTTTTTTTAACATAACTATACAAGTATGTAGAATTCAGCCACAAACAGGATATTACTCATTTATGTTATACGAGTTATACGACCGATAGATGATGAAGTTCAAAACCTAATAATTATTCGAACAAAATGTCTTCGATATTAAACATATATACAACCAAAATAATTCACCTAATTTAAATGAAAATAATATTTTTCGGATTATTTTATGCGACTTTCTCGTCTTCCCGTGATCACGGTTGCCGAAAAGTAACCGAAACATCGGGAGTATGAAGTTTTTTACAAAAATAAACTCGCGTAGTGTAATCCGAAAAATATTGGTCTTAATTGAATGAATAAAATTCGCAAAAATTTTTGATATCATTAATCTCTTAATGAAGATCAATATAAATAGTATGAGCTATCAATTTACTACCATAGATGCATTCAGTAAAAGTAATAAACTATAATGTATTATGTATGTTGTCCGATGCACTACAAATATAGCATTAACGTCAGTATTACAGTTTACACCATACTAGATGACACAACGCTTTGATAATAACTCCGTTGTCAAGAATGTTATATACTGTGAAAGAAAATATATTTCTGTTAGTCACGTAGTTTCCAGACACTAGTAATATTGGTGTGGAGACATAAACAAGTATATAAACATTTTTGACTTAAAGTATAGGCTAAAGTCAATTGCCAAAGTCAAAAAGAATCTTTATGGGATATTTTGCAAATATTGATTGACAAATAAGAACAATACCAATTTAAAGAGTTTAGGATTCGATGGTAATTAGTACAAATGATATAAGTATTATTATTCAATTCACTAGGAAGACCTTAATATGTTATGTGTTTTACGAAAAAAAAATCTTTCAAGACGAAATAATTTAATGCAACTATTCAAAGATAAGAAATTTAATTATGAATATACATAGTCTTATAAAAAATGTTGATCAGTAAACTTGTTGTTTTAATGATCCTTTTTAATTTTATAATTATATTATCATTTCTTTTAGATGGTGGAGCATAGCAGTAGTCAGACTCTAGCTGACATTAAGGCTGAAATATCACCCTCTTACAGAAGATCTACTTGAAGTGGGATATAGAAATGAGTGCGCTTATGTGTAGGATATATTGCGCTAGTGAGAGCTGGTTGCTTTAACAATATCCTCTCCTCTTCCCATACGTCAATATACTCAGTAAACCTCAGTTTCATATCATACTTTCATACTTTATTGTCATAAGATCCAGGGTGACTCGATGAGACAGTAAATCGCTGACCACCTTTTGTTCCGTAAGGTAATCGAACCTAGACTGTACTTATTTAGGAGGCTGTCCTTTTGCAAACGTCAAAAGCATCGGGATCGGTTCCTCATGCCATCTTCTCTCGTTGTGATGAAGCGAAGGATCTAAATTAAACGATGCTAATAAATAATATAATGTCTCTGATTACTGAAAAAAGGACTTTACAAGAACTCATCAGGAGCACTGTGGGACGGGAACCCGTTCTTTTTAATCCTTTGTCAAAGTTTTAAGAGTAAAGTTCCATACGCCCTCTTCATTACCCTTCTACAATCCGAAACGTTAGCTGGTGCGTTTTTGTGTTAAATTTAATTTTCGACGACTCTATTTGTATTTTATACAAAGAGCTGCACTCAGTGCTTTAAACTATCTCGTTGACAAGAAGTTTAGCGTATGGAATCTCCATTCAAAACATGTTCCGCAGAGTCTACTTCGGTTTTAATGAATCTATTTTTATTTTCCAACAGCAGAAACGTTTGCATTCCAAGGCCCATAATAAGGTATATACTTTTTCTTGTAATTATAAAAAGAAATATTTTAAGTCTGTTTAATTATATTAATATGGAATGTTTGAAACATATGTTTCTAATCACTATTAAAATGTATTGCTGACAGTTTACACGAGACGAATATAAATAGTATTGGGGTCAGTAATTATGTTAAAATGCTCTGTATTTGTGGATTGTACCGAGGTAGGGCGCTAGTGACAGCGGTACAGAAAAACAATATTATATACATTACAGATATATCTACATATTTAGACATATGGGGTATTAATTATAAGCTATCAGTGCAATAATTCAATCGTTGATTAATCGTATTTAATTGTTTATTTAATATTTTTCCTTAATTTCATTATAAAACAATGATCAATCAATAGTAGATATGATAAACAAATAAAAGTTTAACAATACATTGGCGCCGTATTAGCCTTATATTAACTATAAGAACTTGTACTTCATCCCCACTCCGCGTCCATTGTAATGCGACATGACAGACATATAACTATTTATATATTGACAAAAAAATTAGGTAATGAGTAAGAAAGTGTTGATATTGCATAATACAGAAAAATTAGTCAATTTATTTATAACATAATAATCTTATTTTTCGTTGATTTTTTATAAGTGAATCCTACTACTATTATAAAGGCGAAAGTTTGTAAGTATGGATGTATGGATGTTTGTTACTCTTTCACGTAAAAACTACTGAATGGATTTGAATGAAACTTTACCACAATATAGCTTATACATCAGAATAACACATAGGCCATAGCTTTTACAGCTAGACGGGACGAACCTGAAGTCCACGCGAACGAAGTCGCGGGCAAAAGCTAGTGTGAAATAAACGTTAACAGTGACTCCCTAAAGTTAAACAGAACATAATTACAAAGCATTCGACTAAATTCCTTGTATTCATGAAATATGCAGGGATTTTATATGAAAGAACAAATAATGTCCTTCAGGACAGATTTACATTTGACCTCATAATTAATATTATAACCTACTAACTGTTTTATTCGGGGCCTCAATACTATTTCTTGACCTTTTTATTTCTACTTAGAAATTAGATCTAAGATTTTCGCGAGTCTTATTCATTTAAATGAAACAAATATTTTTTGGATATACTACGCGACTTTATTTTTGCTGAAAAGTAGCCGAAATATTGAAAGTATGTAGTTTTTATCAAAAATAAAATCGCGTAGTAAATCCGAAAAATATTGCTTTCATTTAAATTTTACATAGAAGATTTAATATTTATTTGGCCAAACTTACTGTTTAAATTTTCTTTATATTGAAGCAGAGATCTTTTTCGAATCATAATTATTTTAAGATATTTTTAGTTTTTTTTTAAAATTCCTCATAAAATATGTAATGAACGAGAGCATAATATGATCATACTAGCCGATAAGAGAAAAGAAGATAGGTATCCCTACTAATATTATAAATGCAAAAGTAACTCTGTCTGTCTGTCTGTTACACTTTCACGCCTAAACCACTGAACTGATTTTAATGAAATTTGGTACATACATAGAGTTGACTTTGAGAAAGAACAAAGGATAGTTTTTATCCCAGACTTTTGAAAGGTTCTCTTGGAAACGCGATATAACCGAAATCCACGCGGGCGAAACTGCGGGTGGAAAGCTAGTGTTTAATAAAAGTAATTTATCTTTAATAATACTTTGATAAGCATTTATATATCATATGTTAATAATAAATAATATATATACATATATTAAATGTATGTTTAGTATCAAAACAACATAACAGTTTGAAGTTAACGAGACAGATATGTTTATGTTTACGTAAGAAACATGTCGAGGTTACTCAAATTCTTCATTATTGGAAACTCATATAGACAATATAACTATATTTATACAGAATTTAATATAATATTAACCTCAGATTATATTATAAATATTTTTTTATATAAAGGACATTTGAATAATATATAAAGAATCATTTAGTACGGACAAATCGTCCTAATTTTTCATCCAAATTTGTAAATGGCTTCCAAGGTCCGTCCTTGGCGGCTATCGGCTCTGCCAAGGACACAGTTTGTTCCGTGGCGAAGTATTTAGGTTTTGGTCTTGATGGTCCGATTCTAAGTTGATCGATACCTTATGTTAATATGTCCTAAATATTATACGGGGACATTAAAACCACGTATGATATATGTACTGTAGTTAGAATAAGGAGTTAGTTTAACTTTCTGGCATTAAAGAAATATGGTGACGTAAGTAAACTGTTGATAAAGTCACTATTTATGGTAGATTCTGTTAAACTTAATCTACTTGGTTCAATATTTAAGTAGTAATAAACAAACTTACATGATTCTTCTTTTTTAATCAGTTAAAAAGCCACGACATCCAAGCTATATATTTTTCCTACCCCTCCCATATTGCAAGTTGCTACAAAATTTTCTGTCACAAATAACAAATAAAATAAGTATACATATATTCATTATTACTTCCCCTGTATTAATATAATAGAAATCCGTGTTATTTAATATCTCCATTTATTTTAATATATTTAAAAGATATCTTCTTTATATAAAATTTAACATTAATCAAAATATCAAAAAAGACGTTAAGTCAGTGGTGGCCTACTTGTTAACAAGCCCACCTCTCATGCACGAGGGCGCGGGTTCGAACCTGGTCCAAGTACCAATGTGATTTTTCCGAGTCATATGTACTTTCTAAGATTATTTAACATCACTGATTAATGTATTCCCAAAGAGGGTTGATGTCAAGCAGGCGGCCGGTCGTAAAAACAATTAGCCAAAACTGTTCACAACATGTAAGGCAGACCCTGGTTGAAGCTGGGAAATTTCCAGGAAGAAGAAGAAGATCAAAAAAGTCATTTATTTTATATTGTCTTCGTTTTATTTAGTCTGCTAATGAACGTAATAATAGAATCACATTATGTAATTCATTGAAACAGTCAATCCTAAGAATAATACCCCGGCTATTGTATGAATTAGGCAATTATTAATTGTATTTACCCTTTTTTATTTATAAAAAAAATATTTCTTGTAATTATCATATAGTATTATAGCGTTTTCAATGTGAGACTAATATTCCTCTGCTCATGATCACGGTTGCTGAAAAGTAGCCAAAACATCGAGAGTTTGTAGTTTTTTACAAAAAATAAAGTCGCGTAGCATATCCGAAAAATATTAGTTTCATTTAAAAGACTAATGCTCGTCTAACATGATTCTCAAATGTTTGTTTCGGTAAAATTATACATGTATTATGTTAATCAATATTTAAGAATTAATAAATACTTATATATAAAAAACGGTCGCTTTGAGAGTTTGTTACGCTTTAACATACAAATATATATATAATAAAGTATAATTACACTGAAATAAAATTTTGATTATTTTAAGAGATGTCGCGGTATACAGCTTGTTTTTTGTTTTGGCTTGTTTAAGGTATATGTTACAAAAAATGTTAATTGTATATGTAAATAGTTATATATTTAAACAATTAATTCGTTTTATTTAAAATCTTTAGTAGTATATAAATAGATTGGAATGTTTTCGCTGAAAACAACTTTTATATAGTTCTTTAATAACTTAATGACTAAATGAACTCACGCTAGTGAAGTTGTTTGATAAACGATTTGATTTGTAATATATGTAGGAGGGATTTAATATTGGTAAAAGGATTAAGAATAGTATGCATTAGTGAACACAGAAATAATGAAGGATAGAAGATGTAGAAGATATAGGTAGGTTTGAAGATATTATTAACTTATTTAAGTATACGTAAGTCTTGTAATTTTTTATAATAAATATTAGGGTGTCCCATAAGTTTTTTCCGCGCTACGCTATGAATGAGTCTGACTGGCTATGCTTATATAAAGATGCAGGCTTATCTCTTAGCCGTTTATGGCATCGGTTTCAGTCGTCCCAGAGCTCTTACAAAGTACGTTTCGTTGGTGACAAAGCCTCTTTTAAAAAAAATCTGCCCCGTTCAATATGGAGAACCAAAAGAAGCATTTACGGCATGTTATGCTTCATTGCTTTAAAAAAGGCAATAGTGCAAAGAACACTGCAGACGAGATTTGCACCGTTTACGGGAGTGGTACTACGACCATTAGGACTGTCCGCAATTGGTTTAAGAAATTTAGAGCCGGCAAATTTGATTTACAAGATGAAGACCGCAGCGGCCGCCCAGTAACGACGGATGCGGACCTTATCAAGACTGTGCTCTCTGAAAATCCGCGAGATAGCGGATGACACTAACATTCCCAAGACAACGGTACATAAGCATTTGATCAAGATGGGATATGCAAATCGGTGTGAAGTTTGGATTCCACACCTATTGACGGAGACCGGCCTTATAAACCGCGTCTCTACATGCGATTTGCTTCTTCGTCGTGTTATCGTGGTGGTCGTGAGACAAAAATTATTACAGTTCGATTGGGACGTTCTACCTCATCCTCCGTACTCCCCAGACCTTGCTCCTTCCGATTAGTACTTGTTCCTCTCCTTAAAAAAATATCTCCGTGGTAAATCTTTTAAATCCATAGGCGAAATAAAAACGCACACAGAAGAATATTTTGCAAGTAAGCCTCAATACTTTTGGAAAGAGGGTATAATGAGGCTTCCTGAGAGATGAAAGAAGGTTATAGAACAGAACGGTGCATATATAATACAATAAATCAATCTCAAACAATAAATATCGTGTATTCATTTCGCATCAAAAAAAGGGAAGGAACTTATGGGACAACCTAGATATTTCATATGATTCACTTTTTTAAATAACAACGATTGCAGAAAGTGTTACTTCTAATTTATTTAAAGATAATCAAAGTTATTATCTTATATTAAAAATATATAACATGTTTAGTATCTTCAATCGTTTATCAAGCAAAGGTAATCTTTTCACAATTCTAGTTTGAATTAAGGTAATGATAGGTTCAAATAGATAAGTATTTATTTATATCATGAGAATGATGACAATTAGAGCTTCTTAAAGAAATATACGAGTACATTTAAACAATAGTTGTAGAGATTTTTTCTAAAAAAATATAAAGTGATTATTGAAAATCTAATCTCCCGTTTTCAAAGGCAGGAAAAGTAGAAATATATTAGCAATAGACACCCATTTCATCCATTAAGAACTATTGAAGACATCGTGTAGAACTGAACGTGTGATCGGAAATAGAGGTCTCTCTTATTTATAAATCAACAAGAATATATAAAATATATTAATATATTATATTATCATGTACATATATTTCCATTAGTTTCACTTTATGAACAAAAAATATATCCTTATATACTTTGTGACTAAATTTGGATAAAATTATTTGTTTACAGATGAGAAGGATATCTTATAATTCATTTTACAAAAGAATTTTACTCATTTTGAGAACAGTTGTTTGTATGTGTGTGAGTGTGTGTGTGTGTGTGTACACGTGTCTCTAAGCATGTGTGTGAAGGCACGTTTAAGGAATCGCCCCACGCTACAACATGCTACGTTCTACAGAGAAAAGAATATAAATGTACTTAATAACCTACACTATTATATGAAAACATCATTTTGTGTTTAAATAAGGTTTTAGTTAAGCTATTTGTATATACGTGAAGCGTGGGATATATTTTTCAGAATATTATAAGTAAACGTTTGTTGGTACAAACCTTGATATACAAATTCACATAAAAATCACATAAAATCACACAAACACACAGTTTAACGTTCACAGTCTTCTACTACGAGGAGTTTACATGATTGTATCCTTCATGATGGCAAACAGTTCTTTGTCATTTCAATTTTATTTTAAAAATGAAGAAAACGACAGGAAAATCAACGACCATTCTCGTTTTGGCGCGAAAATATCTCACGGAAGCCATTTTCGTAATAAAAAAATTATTTCAGTCAATAAAACTATTAAAATGTCCTCAAAAATTCGTTCCAAAATTTAATGAAGACTGCCATTTCGTTTTTTTTAAATCACAGATTCATGTAGCACTGTACAAATGATGTTATAAATCCATAATTATTGTAATAAAGTGATATAATTGTTTATTTTTGTTTTGCGTTCAGTTTCTAAGGCGACTTAGTTTGCAAGACGACAGCCATACAACTGACCAATATACGAAGAAAACGGGGTGGTTTGAGAAGGAGGGTGGAATAATTTGCTTTTTTTAATTACGACAAAGTGCGTTCGATTTTTTTTTTGCCGTAAATTGGCGATTATGTGCTAATTTTATTAAACTCTGTAACCTGATCGTTGATGACTTATCAGTTTGTAGTTTAATGAAAATATATTAGAAAACAACCTTGACCGAGCTTAAATTGACGGCGAGTGAATTTTAAGACGTATAAAGTGATTAATGCAAATAAATTAATTTAGTGCTTAATATTTTCGTTATTAATTCTATTAAAGTAACTATTGTTGAATTAGCCTCAAACTAATCGGCTAAGGAAAATATGTGACGTGTGCGTCCTAAAAATAACCATTAGTACTTTAAAAAACAAATGTAGGTTTCTGAAACTATATGATTTTAAAGTGTTAAGGATTTAAAGACGAATAATTGACATGTTAAAATAATTACGGAATTGATATAAAACTAAGATTTTTGTAACTAAAAGTATAACAATTCGTTAACGAGAAACAATGAAATAAGAAATACTCAATTAAAATAATTGCATACATGTTTTCAAATTATAAACACTAATTAATTATGTGAATTACTTTTCCAGTCAGCGCCATCTGTATTTTATCAATCTAACGATTTAGACTGTTGACTTTACCTTCATGTTGGTTGAAATATACGTGAGATGGCGTTGTTTTATTATTAATAAAATGGAAACTGAAAAGTAAAACGGGTGGGATTTTAAACCGATTCGCCTGAATTAGATGGTATTTATGGTTTAGGGTAATTAAAGTAGTTAGTCTGAATGCCTCAAAGTAATTCTGGCCACCGGAATTGTGCATGGAATTGGAGTCCTTCCACGCAGATTGAAACTTCGTAATTCTAAAAAATTCTTATTCACTTGAAAATAAAATATTGCCCTAATACATTGTAATATGTCTATCAAATCAAAATAAAAAATTATGAATAATGTTTTATATATTTTGTAATTAAACTATCTTGTAAAAAAGTAATCAGCTGATGTAAACACACACTTCTCTATGCCCCTAGTAATGTAATTCGTGAGTACTTTTTGACATACTTATCTTAATCTTAATTATTAAATTAAAGAATTTATTTAAAAAGAAGAGATTACTTAAAAAATACTTAAATTAATTTATATTTTGTTGAGTATTTATTAGTGGTCAAACCGACCAGATTTTTACATTTCACTAGCACCTAAATGGCGCATCTTAATTCATGATTGGTCGCCAGCATTGCTAAAAAATTTCTCAATGCGCTCTAGATGACTTCCAGATCAGATTTATTTAGTAAGATGGCGTAAATGTATTCCGGAAATATTCGTTTCATTCCGAATTACAGTAGTCCGATCAGAATGAACATCTATGAATCTCTCAAACTCTAAGTCGCGAAAGTACCTTAAAACGATTACAATCTGTTCATCACCGCTTCATAAACTTTATTTAAAGAGGAATATTCAATAAGAATGTTTGGATCTTATTATTTGAAAACAACAATCAAGGAAAAAAAACTTATTTGTGTGTACACAACCTGTTAGCTAATTAAAACTATGTATTATTAAAAAAAACAAGTAACATTACCTTTCTTTTAGTTCAAGCTCGACTGGTCACAGACCTTCCATTTGTAATTATGTTAATTACATCAAACAAAAACAAACATCAATGAAAAAAAAAATTCAAACGACAATTGAAAATTGAAAACTTTATCAATATCGTTAAACACACATTACCAGTAGAGCCCATAGTAATAATTTTTCACAACTCGATAATAAATGAATTCACTATTTACTAATTAGCTAATTAAAACTTATTCACTTGTTCTTAGAAAGACAAATAACAATATTGAATAATAACAAAATAGCGAAAAAAATTTTGAACGGTATCGTATCAATTAGTCCCATTTAATTTGACACTTAATACAGTTTCTATGGCTTTTTAAAACGAACAGTTACTACAAATGCATTGTTTTTGCACAGTATACAAATATTTCGTGCATACAACACGAGATTTGTAGATCGTCCTTGAGATTATTTGTATGGAAAATAAGCACTAATTATTATTGATTATCTACAGTCACCTAATCAGCTTTGTTTCTCACTCAAAGTCGCTCATCATCTTCATCAGCCTATCAGAGCCCACTGCTGAGTTGCCTCTTCTTATATGGAGAAGGTTTGAGCATAAATCACCACGCTTGCTCAAGACGGGTTGGTGAAACTTATAATTTGAAATTATAAGATCAGGTTTCCTCAGGATGTTTTCCTTCATCAGTCAGTGATGTCTAAATACTCTTATAAAGTGCATATGACTTGGAAAAATCACATTGGCACTTGCCAGGGTGTCAAACCCGAGCCCTCGTGTATGAGAGGCGGGCCGTTGATCTCTAGGCGACCATGACCAAAGTGGTTAGTCTTAGAGAAATTTATAGAGAGACTAGAAGACCCAGTGAACTTCGTATCGCCCTATAATCAAGAAAAATCTGTTACGTTTTTTTATTTATATTTTTGGAGTTTACCTATTAAAGCCATAAATCTCCGTGTTTTGAAGTGAAAAGAATGATTGACATATTAGTTAGTTGTCAAATCTAATAAAAAAAAAATTCATCAAAATCGGTCCAGTCGTTTGAGAGAAGTTCAGTGACATACACACTCACAGAAGAATTATATATATAAAGAAAAATACACTAGTGATAGGTTCAGATGAAAGCATGAAACTATTGAGCTGGTTTACAGGTTAGTTGATACAATTGGGTACTCACTAGAAAATAAGAAATATGACTCTGCTGTATTTCTAGATATAAGTCAAGCCTTTGACAGAGTAGTATAAGTATAATTCACTCAAGTCTGAAAAGGAATAGTGTTCCAAATCTTATAAAGTGGTACCCAAAAGAAAAGAGAGTGGTCAATTGAATAAAAGAATATCTAAATGTCTATGACAGGTGGCTGTTCTAAACAGGATTCAAAGGACAAAAATTAATATATATATAGTTTAATATAATATGTATATGAAGAGCATTGTTGTGGCAGTAAGAAAATCATGTAAATGTCTAATAACATTAATAGAATATAATTTACTATTAAAAATTGCAAGTTACTCAGCAAAATTATAAATAAAAAGAATTATTTTGTTAATTTCCCTTAATTCTATTTCCTTTTCGTTAACTATACAATGAGGATAATTACAGTAAGTACAAGTCTTCATAAGCAACACACACACTGTTGGTATATTTTCAAGTCATAAATTAATTTTAAAACAAATAAGACTATATAAACTATATGTGTTCTATAACTATAACTATTCTTAATTTTTCTAAGGGAAAGCAAAAAAACAAAACAATGTTCATGAATTTTGTCCTAAATTATCTCTCCACAACTTACACAAAATAAAATCAAATATTTTGTTATAAATATTTATTTATCAAAGAAAGAAATACATTTTACGACGAACTAATTTAATATTATTTAATAATCCCATAAACAAAATCAATATTACAAGCATTAATATTATAAAAACGGCTAAAATTTAATTAATTCATTAAAATTAATTCAAAGCACATTATAAATAAATTATTATAATTTCTTAATTATTATATACATAAGATCACAATGATTTTTGAACGTAAAAACTAGAAATATATTGATGAAATTAAAATCTTCAATTTCTATCTCCTACCACTTGATATACTTGTCTTAAATTGAAACACATTATTCACGGAAAATAAAATGATATTAATTTTAGAAGCAGACAAAAATATACATAAATAAGAAATATCTAAACATTTGAAGGACTTAAAAAACATTTTGAAATGATACGAATTTAAAAAATGTGTTTTACGTATCTAAAAATAAATGCTATTTATTGCAACATTATATCCAGAATTATCTATGGACACAAAAACAAGATGGCTGACTTGGTGACGTCATCAATACATTTTCATTACATATCCTTCAGAACGTGTTTCAAGATGGCGCCTTCGTTGTTTCTCATTTGATTGACACCGGTGTCTAGAGCATTTATTGGTATGACCCGAGTGTCTGATTCAAAAGACACTTGAGATGAAGTCTCCATGTTGTCCAAATTATTGAATAACAAGTTATTTGAATTGTTTGATGGATTACGTTTGTGGCCGACTTCGAAAACTGGGTTTGGACCTGAAATGTATGAAATATTTGTTGAAATGGATGTATTTAAGTGTTTTTGGAGATATTTAAAGAATTAAACGGAATAAATAGACTGAAAGACGTATAATAGACAATAAATGACCTTAGAATACTATTGCATCAAATACAGATGCTTTTTTCTATTATTATCATAGTGTATAGTCGGGGATAGTGCAAATCCGCGTATCTGCATTGAAAGCAGATTATCACAAGAAAGTTTAAGCTGAAATATTTTCTAAATTAACGAATTTTAAGCAAAAGTTTTCTACAAATAGTATTTATTTAGTGTTTAATTTATTGGTAATTGTGAAAAAAATAGAAGAACCATGTCAAATATATTGACTATCTCATGAATGTTAAACTACCCACCAACAGTGGAACTCTTCCTCGAGCTGGCAACACTACCTAGACCCATCATATCGGGTAGTACAGGGCGAGGTTTGGATTCATTTTGTAGGAACTTCACGAACTCCGCCGCTAAACTATCCTTGGTAGTGTTAGACTTCATCAGACCGAGTTTCTCACATTCAGTCTGATTGAAATCTAGGACCGTCGATAATATTCTGAGAGTTTGTGTTCTGGAAAGAAAGAATTTAATTTATTTTTGAGTTAAAACTTCATGTAAAATTTAGTAAAATTAAACTACTACAATGTCATGAAATAGTTAACGTTTGCGTACGGTTTGAGAGAAAATGTAATTATATCAGAATCTCCAAACTAACATCAAATAATATTAAATTATAAAAAGAATAAAAAATAGTAAAATCAACAAATTAATAGAAAATATTGACTTACTAAGTCACAAATTGAAATAACTTCTTACTTTACAGGACACTATTTATTATTATATATAAAAGAAATAGTTAAACGAAGTAAATATGAGTTAGACTAACTGACCTGTTCAAATTATTCTGTGAGCTAACCACGTAGTTAATAACCAAGTTCTTAACCAGGTTTTTATCAACTTTATCCTGTTGGTTGGATATAGCGTTGTAGTACCTCTCTTCTGCTGCAGCCACTGTACTCTGAAGAGCTCGAACTGTTAAAATATTAATAAAAATTCATTATTAATAAACACAAACAAATTTATAACAAAAAAATTTCACATCGAAAAGAAAAATTAAAGTATTGAACATTATTATAACATTTATACTACATGTCCTAAAATAATGGACCATTTTTTTGGTAATATTAAATAACATGCGTAAGTAACATTACATATTAAAACATCTAATTATAACAATGCTGCACTATCTTACCAGGCGGCAGTCGACTCGATGAAAGGCTCGCACGATCTCAAAGTATTATTCAGCCACTGGGTCGAGAACTCATGATACTAGCACTTGATAATTTTTTGGATCACAAATATTTATAATCCATACCATTAAGAGAAAAACAGGTAAATATCAAGAAGAATTCTTCTTGATTTTTGGTCAAAATTTATATAGAACTAAATTGCCATGTATATGATCCAAAAGATTTTGTTAACAAAGTGCTAGTGATCATTGTTCCCATTATCATACCACCAGTACCTGAAGTAATACTCAGAGACGATGCAGCAAAAACAAATCTTCTACTCTTCTACTGTAGGTGAACACATTTAAGGGCTTCGAAAATGTGATTGCACAAACAATAATCATTCATCAACCTGGATATATCTCAACATCCAGATAGATTCATTCAAAAAACAAAAAATAATAAGAAAAACATTTAAAAAAAACAACATCTAGTGCATTTCTTGCGTGTGCATACAAAATAAATCATTCAAATAACTCCACAGGGTAAAGCAAATAAAGATGGGGACGCCACGATGTTAAAACTCACGCCTCGATCAAACCCCATATGATAATCTGAGTTGAGTTGACGTCCATACAAGACGTTAATAAGTCTCACAGTTACCAAATGAGATTAGAACGAAGTGGATGCAAGCTTCTTTGTGTAGCTTTCAAGCTGTCTGCTATTGAAATATTATTATATATTATACATATTAAACTAATAAATATTTCAACATCAGATAACAATAAATTAAAATAACGATACTAGCAAACGATACAAACGTTCAAAGTTAATGCTGAGACAACACATAACATCGTCAAGATAAACAGAATTGACTTACGTGTGTCACAGTCTTTTACAGAGCTCGAACGGAAAATAACTTTATACCAACTGATAATCTGGGGGTAATGACCCCAGAATTACCAGCTGATATTTAGCCATTTACCGTACTTTCATTATTTCATAGGTACTTGATAAAAATTCTCGAGCAAATTTTGTTATAATGCAGTATAGTGTCGCAAAAAAATCTATATAACAATTATACTCTATATCAAAAATCGTGCTATATACAATATTATAGAAACTAAATACGTAAAAATGAATACATTTTCTGTTTCTGTTACTAATACAATAAAAACTACTGAATAATATTATCTATAAGGAACATTCCATCACTAATATAAACCAATTTAATTTCTAACCTTGTTCCTTCAAATCATTTATTTGAGCTGTTTTTGTTTCCACCTGGTCGCCAAGTCTTGTCGCTGCTTTTAAACCAGCGCTCGATTCTTCTAACTTCTTATGTAACCTGGCGATTTCATTCTTTAATTCATCATTTGCGCGTCTAAATTCTTCCATTTTGTTTCGTATTTTTTCTGTTGCTACATGTATGTCTCTTTCTTTGTCTGTAAATTTGAAAACAAAAAGTTAATTTGTTTCATTATAAATATTATCCTACTAATATAATAATTGCGAAAGTTTGTGAGTGTGTGTGTATGTTTGTTACTTCTTCACGCTCAAACGGCTGAACCGATTTCGATAAAATGTTGTATACAGGAAGCTGACGTCCAGGAATAACACATAGGCTACTTTACATCCATTATTCACGTAACACCGCGGGGCGCAGCTAGTATTATAATAATTTCTACTCACCTAACTGAAACTGTTCCAATACCACTTGTAGGTTTGTGAGAGCGGCTTCGCTTCTATTCCTTGCATCCTCTGCTTCACTTAGTTTTAATTGAACATCTTCTCTTTGCTTCTCTAAGAGTTTAATCTGATTTCTTAATGTTTCTACTTCCTGATTGGCTCGGATGCTGTAAGAAATAAAATATGTGTTTAATCGTCGTGTACTATTTTATTATACAAGGAAGTGAGGAACTAGAACAGTAAGTACATATATAAAAAGGAATTGCTGTTCTTTAGTCTCACTCAAACTCGAGAACGGCTGAACGGATTTATTTTATCTTAGTCTTGAAATGTTCGTGGAGGTTCAGGGAAGTTTTAAAAGCTGAAAAAAATTAATTCATTTCCGGGAAAACCTTAAAAACAGCCCTTTTCTATTTCCCATACAAACGTTTTTTTGACATTAGATTTGACAACTAACTAATATGTCAATCATTTTGTTCGATTGAAACAGAAAAAAATTAAAACCGGGTTATTTAAGACGGAATAGAGTTCACCCGGTCAGCTATACATATATTACTATTGACGAAATCAACGCGGACGAAGTCGCAGGCAAAAACTAGTAATAAAATATCTACACACCTATTACTTGTATAGACCGTGCTTGTCTGCTTAGCTCTTTCTTCTACTTGATGTAATCTTGTCTGACATTCGTTCAACTTCTGCTCTGACGTCATCAACTCCTGTGTGTAACTCTCCTCCGTTTCCATTAAGTGATGACGTAATCGTTCTAACTCCTTTGAGGAATTCTGTTCTTGTTCAGACAACTGTAAAATAAAAAGGACTACTTTAAAAACTGTAATGAAAGTTTTATTTAAACTGTAACTTGATTAATAATTTCTTCAAAAAATTCAATTGTAACTTTTGGATATGACTGTTTTATATTACCTGTGCGTTTTCTGCTGTCAAATCCTTAACCTTCTGCCTTTCGATTGTAAGATTTTTGTCTAAATCTTTACAACGTTTTGTCAAACTTTTGACTGTTTCAGTAGCGTTTATAAATTCAGATTTCGTTTTTTCATAATCACTCATGTTCTGGTTCAATGCGAGGATGATTTCATCTTTTTCTTTAAGACTCGTACGTAATACTTCACAACTTGTGCATCCGTCAGCTATATGTCTTATAGTAATATCTTTCTCTTCTATAATCTTCTTAAACTCATTTGTTTGTTCTACAAGAATGTGATTCAGCCTCTGAATCTCATTATGATACTGAATACTTTCGTTGTGTTTCAAATTAACGAGATTGATTAATTCATTTTTCTCAGCGATTGAATTATTTATGGTTGTTTTCAATTCTTCACAAGTTTTTTCTAACTCATCACATCTATGTCTTTCATCTAATAAATTCTTTTCTTTAACTTCAATGCTGTATTTTAATTCGTCTACAACTTTATCTACAGCTTTTTTTTCATCTAATAATTTCGCATATTCATCATTTGGTTGAATTGTGTTTTCGCATGCCTTAATTTTATCAGTTAATTCTAATATGGATTGATTTAATTCTTTTATTTCCTTATCCCTCTTTTCTAGCGCGAGGTTACTGTCAGCACACGACTTCTCGAGATCTTGAAGGGTGTTACTCAATGAAGTGATCTCAGTATTTTTTTGATATATATCGTCTTGAAGACTGAACATCTGTTTATTAATTTCTTCTTTTTCTATTTGTAACTTTTTCAATTCTTCAATACTTTGGTTTGAACTGAGATTCGTGCTATTCATTTTTTGTGTGATATCTTGTAGAGAATTTTGTAGACGTTCAATTTCTTTATTTTTAATTTCTAAGCTGTTTTTTAGATCTGTCAAATTTTGATGAAGCGTTGAGAGTTCATTAGCGTTTTTATTTACCGTAGAATTTAAATTATCAATAATGGAATCTTTGTCATTTAGATCTGACAGTAGTTTTTCGAATTCTTCTTCTAACTGAACTATTTTACCATCAGTGGAAGCTAATTCTATTTCAAGCTGTAATTTATTTTGCTCCAAGTGTTTATTTTTGTCTTTAAGTGATAATAATTCCTTAGTCAATTCAGCAAACTCTTCTTCTTTACGGCTTAGATTATTAATGGAATCTTTAAGCTTTAAAATTTCTTGATCGGCAGCTTTTTCTTTCTCTTTGAGAAAACTGTTTTCTTCTTCTAAGCATTTACTTAAATGCTTAAAGTGGCTCAGTTCATTTTTGAATCGCTCAACATCTCCTTTTAGAGTTGTATTCTCTTTTAAAGTTTCCTCCAACTTTCTTGATAATCTATTATTTTCTAAGGTTACTTTTTCTATATCTGTTGTACAATCGTCTTTCGGAAAAGATCGCTGTTGCTCCTTTAATGTTTTATTTTCTATTTCTAATTCATTAATTTTGGATAATGTTTCTTGTAAGTTACTTTGCAGTTCTATAGTTTTTTGCTCTAAGCCAATTATTTCATTGTTAGTGCTTGTTTCTATGTTAGATTTACTAAGTAGTTCCTCTTTCAGGTCATCCAACTGTTTAGTCAGTAAAACTTTGTCATTTTCTAATATATGGATATCTATCAAGAGTTGCTCATTTTTTGACGTCGCCGCATGTAACTTCTTTTTCAAATCATCATTTTCAGAGACCGTTTTTTGGAATTTTACATTCTGTGTTACATTCGCTTCATTTTCGAGTTCTTGTACAACTTGTGTTTGTGATTTACAATCATTTAGTTCTTGTAACATTGAAGTATATTTATTTTTCATATCAGTAAGACTTTCCTGGAGAATTTTCTTTTCATTTTGAACCTCCTTTAATTCAGATTCTATCCTTTTAATTTCTGATTCAAATGTTTTGTTAATTCTATTGCAATCCGCTAGTTCTGTTTCTAATTTTGCTAGATTATCTTCATGAGTTTCTATTATCGGTTCTAATTTGGAACTATTCTTTAAGGCAGCTATTTCAGCTATAAGAAAATCATTGTTTTTCTTCATTTCCTCTAACTCGCCTTCAAAATGTTGTATGTCCGATGTGAGATATTCATTTTCATTTGTTAAATCGTCAATTTGTGTTTGAAGATGGTTGGCGAACAGTTTTTTTTCTGACAGTTTATGTTCTAACACGTCAATTTCTTTTTTGAATGCATTAAGCGTTTTAAAGGATGTTTCTATTTTATGTAATATTATATTTTCGGGACCAGACGGTATTTCTCCTACGTAATCAACCGGTAAATCAAAATTGACGTACCGATTGTATAGTTGCATTATTTTGTCTGTCTTCATAACTTTCCCATCTTTAGTATCTTGACCCTCTCCCTCACACTGCGCCAGTTTTCGTTTTAATTCACTGATATCCCTCTTCAATGTTTCTATAACACCTTTAGCGTTGTCGTCTATATTTATTTCATCCAAATGTACTTGATTTGAATCGCGGATATGTTTCAGATCATTGATTTCTTTTAAAAGCTCTTCATACTTTTCCCTTGATACCAAATTAGACGCTTCATTTTGCTTCGTAGAAATCTCTATGTCGTGTTCTAACTTCGTCACCTGTTCCTGTAATTTAAATATTTCTTCGTGCAACTCTTGGTTCTCCTCTTGAAACTTTTCAGCGTTCTCTCTTAACAGGCTGTGTATTCTTTCCAAGTTTTGGTATTTATGTTGTAATGTGTTATAATCAGGGTTGACGGACTTTAGGCTTTCTATTTCCTGATCTCTTTGACCAATTTTATTGAGTAGTACTTGAATTTCAGTTGCATAATCCTCGTTTGAACTTTTCAACTCTTCGTGTTCCTGTTTTAAGATTTCGAAGTTCTTTTGCAATTCTTTCTTTAAGGTCAGTAACTTTTCCATCGCTAGCTGGTGCTGGCTGTCTAAATCGTCCAGACTGCAGGTCAAATTCTTGTTCTCTTCTCTGAGTCTCATAATCTCTTCATCATTTTCGTATTTTTGATCCATTGCGTAGTTCTCTTTTAAGGCGGATAATTCGTTTTGTAATTCTTGAATTTGTAATATGTATTGTTTCTCGACTTCATTGTCGATGTTAACAGCAGTTTTCGGCGGCGGATCCCAGTACCAACTAGATTCTTCTTCTTTAAGACCATTTCGCCGCGAAAGTTTCTGTAACGGAGATAGTAAAATTATTAATAAAAATGCTAATATCAATACGACTTCCAACCACTGAGGCAGACATTAAAATAACCCTAACATTTTAAATATTACAACAGTCAGAGTAACTATTAAAACTTTAAACTCCCAGCTTAGAAGCACACGGCTTTTAAATTCAATGACAACCAAATATAGTCCTTATGAGTATTAAGGTAGAGTCAATAATAGGGAATCAATAAACCGACATGTGTTAGTAGGTTTGTTCAAACACGATATGTTATCTAGGCTTTATGGCTCATTGCTTGACTCATGTACATAGTTAATGTGTTACAGATATACACACATATACAGGTTTTGCCCTTCTTTTATTCATTAGAGCGATAACCATTGTCGCCGATTAGTTTCGCAATTTATTATACTGTTTTATTTTAGCGTATTTTTTACCATTCCACGTCGATTTTAGGCATAGAAACCTCTTTGTGTCTAGTTAAGTATAGGATGTAAAGCACAATATAACGATAAGTATAGTTTTTTAATAAAAAAATCGAATTTGTAATTATCCATTCTCGAGATAGTTGAATATCAAGAATAATTATTAAATTTATTAGTCATTTTGAGTTTCCTAAGGAATGTTTTCCTTTGCTGTTTTGGGGAGTAATTTGCAAATGATAGAAATATTATTTTTGTATCTATAACCTTAAAATGATCTTGAAATCTTTTCGTAAATAAACATTTTTTTTTCGCCTCAAATAAACAATAACACTTTGAGCATTATTTTTATTAAAAATGTAAAAGTTTGGCTTCTCAGTATCTTTGAACAATTTTATATAAAAAATAACATAAAATTTAATTCTTTACGTATAAAAAGATAACATTAATTGTTAAAATTTGAATTTCAAATGTATATTCTTTAATTTACGAATTCGCTAAATAGTAACATATTATAATATTATCGGTCTGAATAATTACACGATTGAATAACTCTTGAGGAACTTTATTCTTCATTATTATAAGCACTTGTACATTAATTTACATATATAAAACCAACGATCTGACAAATACTTACTAACTAAAGAAACATATAATATATTACTATTAATAATCTTCTTCTACCTGGCAAATTCCTTTAGCCAGGGTCTGCCTTACATGGTGTAATAGTTTTGGCTAATTGTTTTTACGACCGGCCGCCTGCCTGACATCAAGCCTCTTTGGAACTTACTATTAATAATATACCCTTAATATGTACTATGTACTATGTATGTATGTATGTATGTATGTATGTATGTATGTATGTATGTATGTATGTATGTATGTATGTATGAATGTATGTATGTATGTATGTATGTGTGTGTGTGTGTGTGTGTGTGTGTGTGTGTGTGTGTGTGTATGTGTGTGTATTTTCGGTATGTTCCCAGTAATACGGTAACGGTCACCACTCTATTTGAACTGCCTTATCTTATCTGTTATCAAGTTATCAACATGACCGCTGAGCTCACTCGGTGCTGGTTATGTGTTTAGTTTCAGATTAAACACCTTTATTACTCACATATCTTTTATATTAACGTTTTATATTATCTGTACTGAAATAAGGTTTAATTTAATTCATTTTTTCATAAGTATCATATACTTTTAAAATAATGTTTAAGTTACCGAAAATTTAATGAAATAACTTGGTAAGAACTAAATATTATTATTTTCATTGTCACGTATGTTTTATTAAATTATATATTTGAATTAAATCTTCAAAGCATTTTGCCAGTTAGACGAAAATCCGACATTAGAACAAACTTCACTGTGTCTAAGGAACAAAGAAACTTTATTATTAATATTTTGGCTACATTATTTCAGTCATATAAAAATATGAAATAGCACAACACACTCAAATCGAATAAAATTCTTTGACAATATATAGAGGCGAGACAGTGAGACAGACATTTTTCCCAAAGAGGGTTGATGTCAGGCAGACGGCCGGTCGTAAAACAATTAGCCAAAACTAATCACAACATGTAAGGCAGACCCTGGCCGAAACTGGGAAATTACCAGGAAGTAGAAGTAGAGGCAGGACAGATAGATATTTTTTAAAGGTCTTATGAAACTATATATTTTTTATTACATATACTATATTATTTGTACGTTCGTTCCTTCGTAAATAACCTACGTTTGATATAGTAACTGTTATGCAACTTTATGGGCCATTGTCGACGCACGAACTTATTTATTGTTGTACTCAGCCCCGGCTTAGAAGAATAGGGAAATTACCAATTCCTTGACATAAAATACGCTCATATATTTTCATACAATATCATATTAAATTATATAGTGTTTTTAACGAAACGTAAAATTTCATTAAAAAATTCTATTTGAATAATAATTCGGAAAAAACGATGGAAATCTTTAATATGGCATCTTCTTCCACCTGGCAATTTCCCAGCTTTAGCCAGGGTCTGCCTTACATGTTGTGAATAGTTTTGGCTATTTGTTTTTACAACCGGCCGCCTGCCTGACATCAACCTTCTTTTGGAATCAGCATTAGTGATGTCTAAATCCTCTAGAAAGTACATATGACTCGGAAAAATCACATTGGTACTTGCCAGGACCAGGATCGAACCCGCGCCCTCATGCACGAGAGGCCTCTTTAACCACTAGGCCGCCACTGACTTTTATCTTTAATATGGCATGTTTAATGAAAATAATTTTAGAATATAAATATATTATTATCTTTCAAAACTCTTCTAAAACTCAGTTTAATTTGAAAGCAGTAACAGTATGAGAATGAGAAAAAATATATATGATTTTCAATAATGAGTTTGTGTAAATACAAAAGGTTGTCAATTATGTAGATTCGAACTGGGAAGCCGGTCAAGGCTTACTTACTCAAGATAATACTTCACTTGTATTATTTTTTGGTCATTTGTCATTCCTAACTGTGGAACGCATCCATTCAGTTACGGTACTGATTTTGACTATTACATTTAAACTGGTCATAAAAATGAATTATTGTTAACTGGATATATGTAATTTGAATAAACTTGTCGTATTATACATATATGTCTATCATGATATATGACAATGCATTCATTTAGAACATACATATTATGTGCTCTGAAATCCCTACTAATATTATAAATGCGAGAGTAACTCCGTCTGTCTGTTACGCTTTCACGCCTAAACCACTGAACTGATTTTAATGAAATTTGGTACAGAGATAGAGTTAACCTTGAGAAAGAACATAGGATAGTTTTTATTCCAGACTTTTGAAAGGTTCTCTTGGAAACGCGATATAACCGAACTACACGCGGGCGAAGCTGCCGGCGGAAAGCTAGTATGTATATATTTTTAATACTAATTTTGGTTAAAGTACGTGAAGAATTGAAACAATTTAATAGTGAATATCATTTAAGACGTTAATATGTAATTAATTAAATTCTCACAGACGTTGTAAGAACATTAAAATGAATTCAACGTCATTGTTTACCTGATTATAATCTCTGAACTGCCACGCTGACACCAAAACCTGGCGTATCTGACACACGAAGAGGAACAATTTGGCTACATACATTATATACATCAAAATATTTTTAATTTACACTACAGGATTCACGTAAAAACTGTTCCCAAATCACCATATAACATAACGAAAAAGATGTTTAATTTCAAAGAATATAAGAAACTACATTTCACAATTTTTATGAGTATTTATATGTACTATTAAACACAGTGTAGATATTTTTCAAATAGCCAGTATAACAATAGCGACTCGTACAGCACACTGGCTGCCTGAGCAAGTTTTCATAACAAGCCTTTGTATGGAACTGCCTCTGTTGTGATTAGTTTATAATCTAATACAGATGAACAATACTATTGTATTAATATGATGTAATGGTACATTAAATCATAACTCTCCTAATATCACATCACTACTGAATCTACAAATAAACAAAGTTTTGCGAGCTAGGTTTCCCAAGGAATATATTTGTGTCTCAATTTCGTCATCAGCCTATCAGAGCCCACTGCTGAGCAAAGGCCTCTTCTTAAATGGAGAAGGTTTAAGAATTATACACCGTACTTGCTCAAGACGGGTTGGTGATTTCAAACTTATGATTATGAAATTATAAGTCCAGGTTTCCTCACGATGTTTTCCTTCATCTATCAGTGATGTCTAAATACTCTTATAAAGTACATATGATTGGAAAAATCACTTAAGTACTTGCCAGGTTCATGTTTAAGTTATATAAGAGATATATAAATGACAATGTTTTTATATTATTAAGGACAAACGAGCTAAATCAATTCGATATAACCTGACGTCCTTCCAGAATCAACGGCGGAACGAGTCGCGTGCGAGATGACCATCAAACAAATTACAGTTCAAATTACAGTAGCGGCTACACTAATGTTAGAACACTTTTAACTTTATCTTTAAATACATTAAGTTTAGATTCGATCGACAGATTCTAATGCAGTCGCTTGTAGCAGTTTAAATGCATTTGTAATTGGTGTCGCCCATTCACGTACGTCATTGTAAGAAATATGAAAAAAACCTAAATTGTTTCATTTGAAGGATACCGTTTTATGTAGTCTTATGTGATTATATGGATATAGGTTTGTAGCTCTTAAATCTATGAGATTAAGGTTCATTTTTGTTTATAGTATACAGTATAAGACGTATGCAGATGATTTTACGCTTGGCCATTGAGAGTGCATGGTCCAATGTCACTTTGTCGGTGTATGTGTAGTCAGTTTGTTAACAGAGGATGGATTTATAAAACGATCAGGTATTAAACAAACAACGGGAAGGGTTGCAGGTTCAAATATTGAGAAGGTCTATCACATTTTGAATGTACATTCGACAGTAAATTGCCTTTTCGAAGATATACAGAATGGATATTCGTTTTTGTTTGCTGGGTAATAAAAAAATAACAATAATTTTCAATAATTAGGAGGTTCATCACGTTGGTGGCGTGCAAACATAAAGTCGGTCATGGCGAAACGCATTTTATGATGGACTACGA